GTTTAGAAGGAAACCTAATTAGCTCTGGTTGTCAAGTCATTCATTAAACAATATCATGCGTCCTACAAAGTATCACCAGCGGTATAACTTGTTCATTCTATCTACTAGAGAATTACTGCATACTTGTTACTAGGTAAGAGAATAGTTTGTTATTCTTATATGGTTGGTGATCGTTTGTAATACAAAGATAATACTGAGGTGTTTCTCCTTCTCTTTTTGGTTCATCTCTTAGACCATTAGTGATGATTGATGACGTTGTCATGATCATTAGAAGGGATATAACTGTTTTTTGCACATGGAAATCTCTAGTCCTTCTTTGGTTTATTTCTTTACAAAGAAGTCATCACTGCAATGTCGCAACGATCTAAGGGCGTATCTTACACTGCTGTCTCAAATAGTCCCTTTTCAAAACATGTTTTTTGTCTGTGGTGTATAGTACAGCGCACGGGATCTTCACTACCAAATGCACAGTTGCGCGAAAAGCTTCTTTATGAGTTCGATTTGGCCTTAGAAATATAGACAACCCCCTTCTTTGTGCTGCCTCAAAATGTTTTGAACATCACAGATATTTTCAGCGTGATACTGGAGATTGCCAAGAAGAATAATGTGGATGCTTTTCTAGTCATCGTTCATCACCTTACTTCTCACATGTTTGGGGAGAAATTGATTTTCTTGACATCTACAGAGATTAGTCGGCTTCTTTCCTTGGCGTAACATTTTGATAGTTTCTCTGCTTGCTGGAAGTCAATTACATTAATCATTACCTTAATTCACACAGGAAAATCTTTGAAGCTGATAGCAGTAGCAACGAATCCTTCACGTGAAGTCAGAACATTTAGCTGATACGCCATTGAAAAGTAGGAATGTACTAGTAGCCTAAAAACCAATTGAAAATAACGGTGTAATGTTTATTCTCCCCTCAGTGTATTTGGTGCAAAAAATTTCCGCACCTAAAAATCAACGAATTTACTGCTAAATTCAAAATTTATCCCACATCAAAATGGCATTACAACATTAGTTCACGGTCAAGAAAGAATACCCTTGTTTAGCTTTTGTCGTAAATGGCGTTCAGTGAGTCACTCAAAAAAATTATCTACGAAGTTCAGGTTTAGCGTAACACTGCTTCCAATAATATATGCGATCCCATTCGCGATAATACAAGCTCAAAAAATTCACTGCTTCATCTTATTGTTCAATGAATTGATTTCTTCGATTCGGCACCAGATAATGATCCAACACATGCTAACTCAACGCTTGGAATTTCCGTATTCGTGGCTATTTTCATCATTCGAATACATTTACTGCTGTTTTCACTATATATTAAGAAAAAGAGCCAAATCATCTATCTGCAGTTGTAAAAGAAATCCCTCTTCCTTTTAAATTTTTTTCTTGTAAATTAACTTTTAATTAGACAGTAATATCACATTAACTTCAGAGTATTCGGAAGACCACATGTGATATCCTGGCAGCAACGAATCAAATATCTAATACTGAGCGGCTTTTAGAAAAAAAAATGTCTTTCGCTACGAGTCACTTGAAAGCTAGTGATACTTATGCCAACACTTGATGGATATTGCTGGCATAAGACCATGCCCGTTCAGATCTTCTCCATTTCACTTAAAGTGTAACTGGCTCAAATGTCGTTAGGACAACGAAAATTATTGGAAACCTTCCTTTATTTCTCTTCTGCCAATTCCAAATGCCTGCAGCGATGCGTAGAAGCGGTTACCTCTCTGTTTCAAAACTCCTGCCTGGATCAGACAATGGGGCCCGTCACAGTACGGATGTCATCGTTAGATTTGTTTCTTTTGGGTGCTTTACTGCAGCAGACAGAGCAATTGCTGTTGCGAAATTATGTGACGAAAGTGTTATAGCCAAAATTCCTGACTACAACGCATACATAGGCGCTACACTCATAAGGTGTTGCTTTAAACATCGTGAACTTCCAGCAAACCGGTTTACAGTATTCAATAAGGCGCAACTATGAGGATTTCTAGAAATTTGCAAGACATGTGTACACCTAATACTTCATAACATCTCATTTTGAGGCCGTTGGCCTTGGTTGTATGAATAACAACAGCAAGCTTAAAGGGCACATGTCGTGTAGCAATAAAAAACTTGCAAGTTTGAAGAAAACACATTAGGAGTCCCTCGCAATAAACAATCCTATGTTTGGTAAAGAACTATAGATGCTATCTCAAACTGTACCAGAATGCAACATCGAGAATTAGCTTCGTACGTGTTTCATGCTAAAGATCGAGTTGATGATGTTTCTTGTGTTGCTAAATTAATATTCTGTTCAGAATGCGAGGGTTAAACGTGTGCTACATGACTCGCCGTAACTGTACTATTCTTAAATACAAGTTCCTTGCTATCTTTCTCTCAATAGTGTTAGGTATTGCTATATTCCTACGCACTTCGTTTAGCAATTCTGGTAATGAATCATTCAATTCTGCAAAACTGGGACAAGCTCTAAGTAAGATTATTTAGGACGCAATAGCACAAATTCAAATGAGTACAATGACTTCAAGTTATCTTTTTCAGGATCAGATATTGATGTATTGTTCTCATTGGCAACACCCAACTCTTATGATACAACTCCATACAACAAAAACAACCTGCTTCCACCATTTTTTCGCTATACTGAGAAGTTTGAGGTTGGCGAATTTGGACTGAGTTATTTCCTCCTACAGCTTATCATGAGGATTTCTAGGTTTTACCCAAATACAAGCTCAGCATC